TTCTGAGCAGGTGTGCACAAGATTGTTACAGTGAGTTTAATTTCGCATACACACACTTAAGCAGATCAAGAAATGTTTGTTCTGATTTATTTCTCCCTCCTCAGCTGTCCAGTTCGAAATAACATAGCTCTCCAGTACATTTTAAACAGATTTCCTGATGCACTTACCTTCCCAAACGGAGACTTTAAAACTTTATGGAAGTTTGCAAAACATTAGTATTACAGTACTATCATTATATACCTGCTTTAAAGTAAATCCATTTGAACTCAGGGTTTATTCCCGGGTAAGGATTGCAGTTGTAATCTGAGAATGAGTAGACCACTCATAGGGTTGGGAGCTTTATTAGAACTAAGGGCTTGGATGTAAAGTACACAAAAGTAACATTTCCCGTCTCTCCCCCCTTGCAGCAGTGTGTACATCCTGAAAAACCTCTGTAAATTATTCAGCCTCTATTCCTTAAACAATGTGAAGTGTTAAATGTCTGCCTTATTTGGAGCAATTTCATCCTGACCAAATGTTCCTTCCGTTAGCTTCTTTACATTAACTTATAAAATGGTTCAAGACCACCTGAATACTTAATAACTCTGCTGTAACACTGGAAGTTGACTAAAGAGTGAAGCTATAGTATTCATATAAATTTCAACTATTTTCTTTCATGCAACTTCCATTTTCAATATGGTTTTGTATTCAGGTTTTCCTTTAATTGGGATAGTTAGTTGAGGGTGAATTAAAAGCAGCATGGATGTTGATGGGTGGTTTTTGGAAATCACCTTTCCTTCTAAATGAGGTAGGTCCTCCACTTGTAAGAGAACAGATGTGCAATAACATGTCTTTCCATGAAGTCAACATATTAAGCATCTGACCATAGTGACCATGATAGCTTATGCCATTATACTTTTGTTAGTCTTTAAGATGCTGCAACACTCTTCATTTTTGCTGCAGCAAACATTAAAATTTCCAATCAGTTATCCCCTTCCATTTTTATGAGCTTATTAGTAGTGTATGGGCAGCAGAAGGAGAAATTTTTTTGGGGGGTGTAAATAAATAATGGCTTTTCAATTGCATAGTTCTAGGCTTATGAAAGCCATTTGAATTGCATGTTTTTTAAAATGTTGCAACAGTTGGGGTCATTTCATCCTAAAACAATGGCAAACTTCTTGTTAGTAATGAGCTTTTAAAAACCTTCATCCGTGAACACTAGGCAAGCTTGGGGGTTCCAACATTGTACTGACTTCTGGAATTGGGCAAGACCTCTTTTGGCAGTGATACAGTGGTGTGACAGTGAAGGATCTTACATGACCAGCTTGCTCAACCTGGTACCTTCCGGGTTTTCTTTTACTTCCAACTCCTATCAGGCCCAGCCAGCACTGCTAATATTCAAGAATTTTGGGAGTTGAACTTCTGGTGGGCACCAGGTTAGGCAATGCTGCTATATGAGATTATAGTAGACATAATGTTTGAGCATAGTAAGCTACATGTTTAGTTGCTGCCAAGTAAGGATGGCTGAGTATTGTGCATGTATGGCATGCATTAATATTACTTGCTGTTCTAGGTATAACCTGTATTTTTGTATATGATTGTATGCCTACAGTTTTTTAAAAATGCTAATTTCTTGTTTTAAATTATAACTTTTAATCTGAAATTAACCGAGGCACCCTAACTCATTCACTACTTCTATAGAAGGCTTGCTGAATCAGGCCAACAAACAGACTGTATAGACAAGGCAGAGGCCTGTTAGTAGGTGGTTCATCTCCATGGTTAATGGCATTTAATGTGCACTAAATGGGGTTCACTCCCCGAAAAGGAGCAAGTCCTGGAGAGTATTTACAGATCTAGCTATGTCACTTGAAGCCCAAGCATAAAGTGCCTTTTCCCAACATTCAGTTGATATACCAGCTCCAGTGCTGGACAAAGATTGCTTGCCTACAACTAATCATGCATTGGTAGCCTCCTCTCTGGATAGCTTTATACAAAGACCACCTCTGAATACGATCAAGAAAGTTTTATTAACCTCCCAGAGAGCCTCAGCTGTTGGGTGGCATACAAATGGAATGAATGAATGCACAGAGTGGGATGGTGTAAATTGCTGTCTTGCAAAGCTCTATTGGACCCAATGGCCTTCATGGCCCCTTCCAACTCTACTACTCTGTGATTCTGTGACTTCAATTCAGAAAAGAGCAGTAAGGCTGGGACTGACTGGCAGTTTTGAATATATTGCTCTAGTGGTATGTCACTTGTATTGGTTGCTCGTCAATTTCTGGGTAATTCAAAGTGTTGGTGCTGACCTTTAAAGTCCTTTAGGATGAAGCTATCTAAAAGATCACCTTCTCCCAGTATGTTCCTGCTTGGTTGCTAAACTGGTCTTCTAGGCTCTTTGGTGCTGCCCCTGCAGTGGTGTTATGGGTGGCTAGTAGAGAAAGAACCTTCTTTGTAGTGGCTGCCTTCTGTGAATGCTTTTCTCAAGGTGATTTACCTGTCATCTTTATAGTATACCTTCAAACATTAGGTCAAACCTTTCTTTTTATTCAGGGATTTAATCTTTAATCAGTTGAATAAATTATTAATTCTACTACTGGCTCATTAATGCTTTTAGTGCTTAATAATGTATTATTTTGGTACTTTTATTGTTAGATTGGCAGGATTATTTTATAGGATGCCCTGTAGGGATTTGCCAATTGGATGGTATAGGAATCTGACAAATCAATTATTTTTAATACGGTTGTTAGCCCCCTGACCCCACAATTAATTTTTCCTTTATGTGATTATGTAAGTGATGATGGCTTTAGTGATGGTTAAGACTGATTAGTTTTCATAATAAGCTAGTTCTTCAATCATGTTTGCCTTCCTTTACTTGTGGAAGACTTTGAATGTTTACCTTTTTTTAACCTGTTGCAGAAGACCTCAATTGTATTTCGACACTGACACTTTGAAGGCTAATGATGAAGTTTTGCATAAATAAAAGGGGAAACTAGCGTATTCTTTGAGTCCTAAAGTCTTGTCTCAAGAGAAATGCAGGAGGGATTGCAGCATCAAATACAGCAGAGAGATCAGTCTGAAAATGGTGCTGAAAAGTAATAGGGAAGTGTACATTTTCTAAAGGATTTTGCTGAAAACCTTCCTCAGAAGCACTGTAAGAACAACCAGTCATAATCCAAACATCATAAAATGAATCAGACAAACTGTATGTAATATTATTATTATTATTATTATTATTATTATTATTATTATTATAACATTTCTATGCCGCCCCTTGCCGAAACCTCGGGGCGGCTTACAACATGATAAAATACATTGAAATACAATAGTACATTTGTATGTAATATGCATAATGACTAATTATCATCGGAACATTTTTTAAATCTACAAAAAAAAATTAGCCCTCCACCGTGCTGATTATGTCACAAGCTTATATGCACGTTAAGTACTTTAAAAATGATAACTGCTATGGAAATGCTATGTGTTTATTTTTTGAATTAACAGCATTTCCTTCATTTCTTTTTTGGTATATAGATCAATAGTTTAGTGCTGAGCATGGATCAAGTATGCTTTTTTCATTTTAATTGAATGAACAGGCAGCTAAGTGAAACATGAAATTTAATGTCTTGGAAAGACACAAGAAATTACTTCTAAATACATTTTAATTTGTAAATCCCTTGCTTCGTGAAAAGAACCGAAATTATCCACAATGAAAGGAATGCATGTGTAAATATATAAGGCTACGTCTACCCTTATACAATTCAGCTCCCGCTCACATGCTGGGAATTATTTGTATCTTTCTTCTTCCAGCTGCTCCCTGCACACTCTCCAGGTCTTCTCCAGAGGGACCACTAAAAATCTAGAGGCACATAAAATTGGTTTTGGGTCATGCAAGGAAACTAGATTGGGAGGGAGATTTAGGTCCACCAGTGATTTCCATTCCACAGCAAAAGGACAATGTTGGACAAAACCTTTAATATGAAGCACAGCCTAACCCAATAAGAATTGAGTTATTTTGTTAAGTTATTGACTGAGAAATAGCCCTTCAAAATAAAATCTTCATTTTTAAAAATCAAGGCTTTAAGATCTTTGCATAGTAAAGATAAATAGAAGTTGGAATAAATAATAGATAATATGTTGCTTTATTTATAAATTTACTTGGTTAACTTTGGGCTTTTGTAAAATTAGCATTTATTAGAAATAAAGCTACTTCTCAGAAATGCTGTATATTGAAATAATGTATCTAGTAACTGTCAGTACTGTATATTGAAATAATATATCTAGTAATTTTCTTACCCCAAATGAATTCCTAAATACAATGCTTTTACTGTTTCTGCCTCACTTACAGATGTTAGGTCACATGAGAAGTGAAATTCTTGTGTTAACAATTGGGTCTGTATTTTATTCACTTGAAGCAGTTGGTTATTCAAAGTAAATATTTGCATATTTCATGGTACACAGTACTGAAGTAAACATGAGCTAGGTTCTAGAGAATTACATGTGCAAAGTGCTTCTAACATATCATAGGCTCATTTCACAGGTAATGATAAACCAGAATTCCTTAGCATGTTTAATTGGCATTGAACAAGTGTGCTCGTGCATTCAGCCCAGTTGTTCTAGTTTGATTTCTCCTATCAACAGGAGTGGCTAACTAGCCAAGAAATCACCAGCAAAATGGAGGTAAAACATGCAAGTTCTCAGACATCACTACAGTTAAAAGGGCTCTTTAAAACATTGATTCAGTGTTGCGTTCTTGTATGTGTGTTAAGTAGTGTCAGTAAGGAACAGGCTAGGAAAGTATGGGTAAATATTTCATGTTTGGGACCAAAGATTGGAGAAGAATTAAATGGCAAATGGCAGTTCCCATTGATATTTTATTACTTGATGTTCTCCTTTTGCACACCCAGTTTCTGAAAGATCAACAGAAATTTCTAGCTTTTGCTGATGTGTCTAATAGTAAAAGTTAAAGGGAGGTTCTTTTCTCAGTCTGATACAGCCATTCAAGTCCTGCAACATTTGAGATTTTGCAAACTCGATCACTGGCTCTGCATGCTGTGGCAGAAGCAAGGGGAACAGGTTTGCTAAAGAGATTATGGTAAAAGAACAATACTGGCCTTAGAAATAGTATTAAGGCTGTTGATTCTGTGCCATAACAATTCACAAATGAAATATTTCTAACATGGTAATTTGTTGATTAGGTACTGATGCTATGATTTTGACATAATATAAGCATACTTATTTTGCATATTGTATATAAGTATTAGAAAAGAAATATGAAGCACAATAAGTATTATACATTTTTGGGAGAAAGGAAGATCTTGGTAAAAGAAAAATAGTCTAAGAGTTGCCACTGATTACAGTTCCCATTGTTTCTGAACTTTGACCATGCTGGCAGGAATTGATGGGAATTGAAGCCCAAAACGTCGAGAGGGATACCTAGGTGGAAAAGTCTTATATCTAGACTTACAGTTATATGAATTAAGTACAACAATATGCTGCATACATGTATTTCATCTGAAGGTATGAGAGGAAGTGAAGAAAACACCTTGTGAAATTCAGGAAAGCTGTACACCTTAAGGATTGTTAAAAAGTCACCTTCATTCTGCAGGGAACAGTCTAGGAACCAGTCTGACTGTAGGCTTTTATTCCACTGCAGAAAAACTTAAGAAGTACAGTATATCACAGAAGTGAGTACACCCCTCACATTTTGTAAATATTTTATTATATCTTTTCATGTGACAACCCTGAAGAAATGACACTTTGCTACAATGTAAAGTAGTGAGTATACAGCTTGAATAACAGTGTAAATTTGCTGTCCCCTCAAAATAACACACAGCCACTGATGTCTAAACCGCTGGCAACAAAAGTGAGTACACCCCTTAGTGAAACTGTCCATATTGGGCCCAAAGTGTCAATATTTTGTGCGGCCACCATTATTTTCCAGCACTGCCTTAACCCTCTTGGGCATGGAGTTCACCAGAGCTTCACAGGTTGCCACTGGAGTCCTCTTCCACTCCTCCATGATGACATCACGGAGCTGGTGGATGTTAGAGACCTTGCGCTCCTCCACCTTCCATTTCAGGATGCCCCACAGATGCTCGATAGGGTTTAAGTCTGGAGACCTGCTTGGCCAGTCCATCACCTTTACCCTCAGCTTCTTTAGCAAGGCAGTGGTCGTCTTGGAGGTGTGTTTGGGGTCGTTATCATGTTGGAATACTGCCCTGCGGCCCAGTCTCTGAAGGGAGGGGATCATGCTCTGCTTCAGTATGTCACAGTACATGTTGGCATTCAAAGTTCCCTCAATGAACTGTAGCTCCCCAGTGCCAGAAGCACTCATGCAGCCCCAGACCATGACACTCCCACCACCATGCTTGACTGTAGGCAAGACACACTTGTCTTTGTACTCCTCACCTGGTTGTCGCCAAACACGCTTGACACCATCTGAACCAAATAAGTTTATCTTGGTCTCATCAGACCACAGGACATGGTTCCAGTAATCCATGTCCTTAGTCTGCTTGTCTTCAGCAAACTGTTTGCGGGCTTCCTTGTGCATCATCTTTAAAAGAGGCTTCCTTCTGGGATGACAGCCCTGCAGACCAATTTGATGCAGTGTGTGGCGTATGTTCTGAGCACTGACAGGCTGACCCACCACCCCTTCAACCTCTACAGCAATGCTGGCAGCACTCATACATCTATTTCCCAAAGCCAACCTCTGGATATGACACTGAGCACGTGCACTCAACTTCTTTGGTCGACCATGGCGAGTCCTGTTCTAAGTGGAACCTGTCCTGTTAAACCGCTGTATGGTCATGGCCACCGTGCTGCAGCTCAGTTTCAGGGTCTTGGCAATCTTCTTATAGCCTGGGCCGTCTTTATGTAGAGCAACAATTATTTTTTTCAGATCCTCAGAGAGTTCTTTGCCATGAGGTGCCATGTTGAACTTCCAGTGACCAGTATGAGACAGTGAGAGCGATAACACCAAATTTAACACATCTGCTCCCCATTCACACCTGAGACCTTGTAACACGAGTCACATTACACTGGGGAGGGAAAATGGCTAATAATGCCCAATTTGGACAGTTTCACTTAGGGGTGTACTCACTTTTGTTGCTAGTGGTTCAGACATTAATGGCTGTGTGTTGAGTTATTTTGAGGGGACAGCAAATTTACACTGTTACACAAGGTGTATACTCACTACTTTACATTGTAGCAAAGTGTCATTTCTTCAGGGTTGTTGCATGAAAAGATATAATAAAATATTTACAAAATGTGAGGTGTGTACTCCTGTGATATACTGTATTTGCTTATAGGTTTATATTGGAATGGTGGACATCTAATAATGCTACTTTTTTCTTAGAAGATAGATAATGCTACAAAGCCTAATAATTGACAGGGATATGTGGGTCTGCTTAAAGCAGTGCGTATCTACATCAAAATATATCCCTTCAAAATACTACATTTTAAAATGTGCCATCAGTTAAGATGATCATCTTGTATCCTTAGTGCAGGGGTGGCCAGACTTGCTCAATGGAAGAGCCAGTTAATGGTAAATGTTAGATGTTTGAGAGCCACAAGACTTTATTTATTTATTTATTTATTATGTAGTATGAATTTATGAAAATGTGTTCTTGCTTATCCATGTATGGAGGCAGTGACGGCTGCAGTTATTCTGGCAGCGGTGGTAGTGTTTCTCAGTGTCTTCAGTGGTGGACACTTTGGCTGCATCCCTACCTGTAGTGAAGAAGCCAGAGATGGAGCAGATGTCACGTGGAAGGTTGTTACTTTTGGTCACTTTCCCTTCCTACCCAGTTACCCCAGGGCTCACTCCCAAGGGCCTGAAAGAAGAACCTGTGGTTGTCCTGGATATGCTCCATCTTTGCCTTCTGCACTAGGTGTGAGGTGTCTGCCACTGAAGGCACCAAGGAAACATAGCCACCAGAATAACTGCCCCTGCCCCCTCCAGTAGCACCACCTGATTTGCCAGCTAGAGCAGTGATGAAAGTAGAACCATCAAAGCGCCTTTGCACTCATCAGCAGTAGGAGGTGGGGCATGCTAGGGCAAGCTCTCACAAGGCCTCCAGCCCGACCCAGTCTTCCCAAGCTTCAGGAAGAGAGTGAGATGGCCAAGTGACCTTGGGAGAACTTGGTGCATTCTTGCCCATGCCATTTCTGGGATCTAGGACTCTGAGCCCCCTGCAAGTCAGAAAATAAACTCCCAACCCTCAGTTTGGCCACCATTTGTACACAACAGCAGCAAATCATATTACGACAAAATAATTCCACCAATTAAAGTAACCCATGTAGCCAAGTTGTATGTTCTGTGAGTGCTAATAGTACTTTGGATATGCATTCTCCATTCAGCCTGATTTTAGGTTGCTTTGAGATGTGCAAAATTGGACATTACAGGGTTAGTCATAGGTTGAATTACCCAAAGGTAATCCAAGAGCTAATCATTGGTCTTCAACTTCGTTTCCTTTTCTATTCCCTCCTGTGCTCACCAGCATACTCTTTGTAGAATCAATAACCTTCCAGACTAGATTGAGGGCTGCAGTGATGTGGACATTAACTCTGATGGTGAATTACATTCCATCAGTCAACTGACACAGTCAGATATCACCTTAGGACTTAATACTGTAGACACAGATTGTGTTTTTAATTTAGGTTCACCTTTTTGTGTATGCTTAAATTTAGATAGTTTTTCAGAGTTTGCATTTCAAGTACAGTGGTACCTCGGTTCACGAACTTAATTCATTCCACAATTCTGGTCGCGAACCGAATCAAATTTCCCCATAAGGTTCAATGTAAAATAAGGTTAATCAGTTCTGAGCCATATGTAAATATTTTAACCACAAAAATATGAAACACAGTACAGTACAGTATGAAGAGAGAGAATACTAACTTTGCTTGAGGCGACTTCTGGCATGGAGGACAGGAAGATGGGTAGGAAGGAGGTTATTGTTTGGAGGGAGAGTCCGACCGCGATCTCAACTAGAGGAAGCCATGATCACGTGTCAGAGTGGGGGAAATGGCTGCGCTTGTGTTTGTGCAAACACCATTGGCCATGTTCCCCTCCCAAACACAATCGTGGCCATCTTCCCCACTCGAACACGCTCTGACACGTGGTCGCGGTGCGGGGAAGATGGCCACGATCATGTTCGTCACCCAGTGCAGAGTTCGTGGAAGCAAAATTTTGCTGAACTTTCTGTTCGTGAACCAAATTGTTCACGAACAGAAGCATTCGTGAATCAAGGTATTACTGTATCAAACTTCATTATTTCATAGTCATACTTGTTTTCTTCCTATTACAGCCAGCAGCCAGCTTCAGGTGTAGCTTATTCCCATCCAACTACAGTAGCAAGCTACACTGTCCATCAGGCTCCTGTAGCTGCACATACAGTTACTGCTGCCTATGCCCCTGCAGCAGCAACAGTTGCCGTAGCCAGGCCTGCTCCAGTGGCTGTTGCAGCTGCTGCAACAGCTGCAGCCTATGGAGGTTATCCGACAGCACATACAGCGACAGATTATGGTTACACACAAAGACAACAAGAAGCTCCACCACCACCACCTCCAGTCACTACACAAAATTACCAGGTAAGTATATTTCATGGAGAAAATGTCCTTCATTCCCTCTTTAATGTTTTTGTCCTCTTGAAAAGTAGCAATTAATAAGTGTATTCATATTATCCTCTCAGATATTTTTATTCTTCTGAATGTAGTTTAGACTAGTAATTAAATTTTGGAAATTTGTTAGAATAAGGATTGTGCAATTTTTAAAGCTATGTGAGCCTTTTGGAGTCAGTACATTTTACAATAACTTTGTGATTAGGAAGATTAAAAATGGAAATAATTCATCAAATGAAACCATACAGTATGTGAAAAGCAGCAGATTGCATAGGTGCATTTTGAGTTAGTTCTCAGGTCCAGATCTCTTTTTTAAATTCCAAGGCTGATGAACATGTTAAACCAAAAGTGCCTCTGAGTATGCAGAGTACCTTCTTCAAATACTTTAGTGGCTAGACCAGCTTGAACTCAGAACTTTGGGAAAAAAATAACTGCTACTCTGCAGTCTAAAGAGATTATCTGGGTTTGTATGAAATGGCAAGCCATCATAGGTAAGTAGGAATGGTGGGTTTTGGACAGGAGCTTGTTCAAGGATTT